ACTGACTCGAAACAAAAACTATACAAAACAAAGAGAAAGAGAAAAAGAAAACGTTTGTACAGTGACAAGTCACTGTGCGTCCGGAGGTGGTGGAGGCGGGTAGGGGTGACTAGGTCCCGAGTTCCAGTGGGTTTGCCACTGGTGAACCTCTGATCCCAACTGTCCATATGGAGCATCCTGCTGGTCCTGGCGCTCGCGAATAGACTGGAAACTGTAATTGAAGTTGTCCAAGCGCGAGCCCATCTGAGTCCTGTGAGTCTGCTGCTGGGTCTCCCAATGGTCCCACTGATTCTTCTGCTGGGTCTCCCAACTGGCCCACTGAGCCTATAAAGAACTTTTAGAATTCTAGGCTTGCCCATATGTTATTATGAGCATCAAATAGGTCGTGAATAGATCGGATATCGGCCGCATACTGTGTTTGGAACGAGGTACATTGGTTTTGGTAATTCGTCCACCATTTCGGTGGTTGCTGTGGAGGAACCTCGAGCTGCGGGTTCGGAGCTGGTGTCCACGCGAGTGGAGGAGGGATGAAATTGTCTTCATCGACTTCATTTGCTCGTGTCTGACGATTGCCGGGATGACCCTACCTGATCAGGGTTAGCCGCACTCTTCTTGATCTTTACAAAATAGGCTTTGTAAATCTTACGCTTCGTATACTCCTGAGCAGTGGTTCGGTTCTTTATGAGGTCAGTTGTTTCAGCTCATGTTCATTGATACATCGCATTTGATTTCCTTCAACCGACCACGTCACGTCGATATTGGCGGCTTGTTCCGAGATTTCGAAGTGTGGTGAGTGCGGTAACAACATGCCCAAGTGCCGGAGAGGCACGTTGATTGAGTGCAATCTCTTGTAATGTGTTATGCAGGAAAGTCATAGAAAATACTTGCACTCCCGCACACATTGCCCATAGGAGATAAAGCTCGGTTTCACTCACTTTGTTCGCCTCCCGCTTCTTAGAGATGTTATAGCATATGAACTTGTGCACAACGGCTGTGGCCAAGTCCTGAATGAGCCCGTTCGACATGCCGCCGGAATCTCAAGATGTATGAGGTGAAAGCTCGGCCCAACTCGTCTTGGCGTTGAACTCTATTGGCTTGCTTCTCTTTCCGGCTAAGTTGAACCCAAAAACTTTCTTCATCACGACATTGTCCACCTTCAAGTCTTTCTCCCATAGCCGACAAGTGAAATACTCATTCCCATATGCAAGTACGAACGAGCTAAAGAACTCGAGCATGAGGCTTCTATACGATGGCTCCTCGATCTTTGCATAGTCGGTTAGGTTCAGGACCTTCAGGTGAATGATTTGGGAATTCTTAGTGATGTAATGAAGTACCTGAAGGTCCTGAACCTAGCCGACTATGCCAAGATCGAGGAGCCATCGTATAGAATCCTCATGCTCGAGTTTTTCAGCTCGTTCGTGCTTGCA